TTCTTCAATTTTTTTCCTCAATGTTTTGTCCATTACATGCAGATGCTGCACATATTTAGTAAGATTTATGTCTAAGTATTTCATGGTTTTTTTTAGTGTTATCATAAACAATACTATTGGGGGGGGGGGCGGGAAGTAGGGATTTAACCCAGTGATGTTCTAACACTGAGCTTAATCCCAGCCATTTTTACTTTTAATTATGAGACAAGGTCTTGCTTAGTTGTCAAGGCTGGACTTGAACTTGCTATCCTCCCTCCTGAGTTGCTGGGATCACAGATATATACCATAATGCCTGTATTTAAAATGATACTTTACAAAGATACATTTAAGCTTTAATTTATTTTTATATATTGGTCTTGTAGCCTATGATCTTGCTAAACTTTTTTTTTAGTTCACGTATGTTTTATAGGAGTTTTGTTTTGGCATTTTCTATAAAGACAACCATTTCATCTCCAAATAGGAATGGTTTTTTTTTTTCTTCCCTTCTTTTTAAATTTGTATGTCTTTTATTCCTTTTTCTTGCCCTGCTGTAGTATCTGGGATCCCCAGTACAACGTGGAACAGGAGAACAGACATCCTGCCCCTGCGTCTCATCTTAGGGGGAAAGCTTTCAGTCATTTGCCATCAAAAGTAATGCCAGCTGTATGCATTTCTGTATGCAAATGCCCTTTATCTCATTGAGTCATTTCCTACAGTCTCTAGTTTGTGGAGAGCTTTTATCAGAAATCGACATGTGTCAGTCATGTTTTCTTCACTAGGACAAAATTACGTAACATGAACAACTTAAGAGGAGGAGAGACCTGGGCTCATCAGCTCCGAGTTCTCAGTGGATGGTCTGCTGACTCCATTGCTGTGGGTCTATGAAGAGGCAGAGCATGATGGCAGAGAGGACATGGTGGGGCAAAATTGCTCAGCTCACTGAAGGCAGGAAGCAAAGAGAGAGAGGGGAGGGGGTTAGGGACAAGGAACAGACCCCATGGGCATGCCTTCAAGGACCCACTCCCTTTGCTCAGGGGCTACCTCTCACAGCCTGCACCTCTGAACATTGCTGCCCTGGGAACCAAGCCTTTCCCACAGGAGACTTGGGGGCACAATCCAGATGCAAACCTAAGAGACATCAGTGTTGTCAAAACATTCATTCTACATCTATTGTGATGTTCATATGTTTTTTCTTCATTCTGTTGATATGTAAATTACATTGCTTGATTTTTGCATGTTGAACCCAACTTTAATTCCTATAATAAATACCACTTGGACAGATGTGTTGACCTTTTTGTATGTTCCTGGATTGCATTTGTTAACATTTTGTTCAGAATATTTACAACCATGTTTGGGAAGGATCTTAGCGTATGACTTTATTTTCTTGTGAGGTCCTTGTGTGGGTATATGAGGACAGTGCTTGTTTCATACAATGAGCTGGGAAATTTTTTTCCCCTATTCTTTATTCTGAATGAAATTGTGTAAAATCCGTATTATCTGATTCTTGCTTGTGGGTATAATTTGCCAGCAAAGGCATCTCGTTCTATAAATTTATTTTTGTCTGTAAGTTGTGATTTGGGGGTTGAACCTAGGGTGCTCTATCACTGAGCTACTCTCACAGTATTTTTCAGTTTTTATTTAGAGACAAGGTTTTGCTACATTGCCAAGGCTTTTCTTAAACTAAGCCTCAGCTTCCCTAGTCACTGGGATTTATGAAATGTACCCCCATGCCTGGCTTTTGTGTTTATTAGAAGTGTTTTAACTAGAAGTTTAATTGTTTGAGGAAAATATACAGAACTGTTCTTGTTATCTAATTTTTCCTGAATGTGCTTTGGCAGTTTGTGTCTTTCAGTGATTTGTTCATTTGTCTAACTTGCTGAGTTTTGGGTCGTACACAAGTTCCTATGTGTCCCTTATTATCCTTTATAGCCATTCTCTCATTCCTGATAGCTGTTTTTTGCTGTCCTGGGGATTGAACTCAGGGCCTTGAGCACAGTAGGCAAGCACTCTACCACTGAGCTACATCTCCAGCTCATTCCTGATATTTGTAATTTGTGTTTTTCGTGTTTGTTTTCTTGGTCAATTTTTATTGATTTTTTTTCAATTAATAGGTTTTGGTTTTGTTGATTTTTTTCTTTAATTCTCTTGTTCTGGGTTTCATTGATTTCTGCTTTTTTCCCTTTCTTATGTTGCTTTTGGTTTAATTTGTTTTTGTAGTGCTGGTCTACTGGCACTGAATTCTCTGTTTCTATTTATTTAAAGTCTTTTCCCCTACTTTTTTGTTCATTTGGTTTTTTAAATGAAATGTAGTGACATTTAGTACATTTGCAATGTTGTACAATTATCACCTCTGTCTAGTTCCAAGATATTTTCATCACCCCTACAAAAAACCTCATAACCATTAAAACGTCACCTTTCATTTCCTTTCCCTGTAACCCCTGGAAATTTCTAGTTCACTATCTGTCTCTTAGATTTACATCTTCAGGGTATTCCATATAAACAGTATTATAGATATCTAATACCTTGTGACTGGCTTCTTTAACAAAGCACAATGTTTTCAAAGTTCACAGATATTGCAGCAGGTGTCAGTACTTTATTGGTTTTTATGGTTAAGTGATATTCCATTGTACAGGTACACCACATTTTGTTTATCCATTTGTCAACAGTTTTCATCTCTTCCCTACTGTGTATAGTGCTTCTTATGGTTTAGATATAAGTTTTTCCCCAAAAAGCTCATGTGTTAGACAATGCAGGAATGTTCAGAGGTGAAATGATTAGAATATGAGAGCTCTACCCTAATTGGTAGATCAATCCATTTTATGGATTAATAATTTAAATGGATGACTGGGTGGTAACTGTAGGCAGTTGGGGCATGGCTGGAGGAGGTCACCTGGGGCATGCCCTTAGGAGTTGTATTTGTCCCTAGCTCATTGCTTTCTCTCCCTCTGCTTCCTGGCTTCCAGGAGCTGAGAAGGTTCCTTCCACCACACCATTCTGCCATGATGTTCTGTCTCATCTTGGGCCCAAAGCAATGGAATTGGCCAACAATGGACTGAGACCACTGAAACTGTGAGTCCCGAATAAACATTTTCTCCTCTAAGTTGTTCTTGTGAGATGTTCTGTTTACAGCAATGAAAACCTGACTAGCACAATGCTGCATTGAACATTCATCTGCAAACATTTGTTTGAGTCCCTTATGGTTACACTTAAGAGCAGAACTGCTGTGTCATATGGTAAATCTATGTTTAACCTTTTGACAAACTATCCAACCAATTACCACAGCAACTGCACCATTTGACATTTCTACCAGCAATGCACAGTGTTCCAGCTTTTTTTCATATCTTCACCAATACTTGTTAATTTCTGATTTTTTAAAATTATGGCCAACCTAGTAAATGTGATGCTATCTCTCATTGTGTTTTGGTTTGCAATTCCCTAGTGACTAATGATGTTTAGTATCTTTCCATGTAATGTTGATCATTTCTATGTCTTCTCTGGAGAAATGTCTATTCAAATTTTTGTCCATTTTTAAATTAAATTGCTTGACTTTTTGTTCTTGAATTGTAAAAGATGCTATCAGTTACATTCCATGCAATATCTATATAAAGAGATATACAATATAGAAGTATGTAGAGATATAAATAGATACAGATATAGATACACATATTCTGGATACTTAGCCTTTATTTTATTTTATTTTTAATAAAAAGAGTCCCACAGCATTTATTTTCATCTGGTAATAACATAGGTCATCAAAACAATGTGAACTAATGCTTTAGAACCATATTCCAGGCAAAGGGCAGCTAAATTAAAAAAAAATTGTTGCTTTCTCTGTAATTTATCACTTCATTGATCATTTCTAGTTGGAGACACTTTGTAGCAGAGTAATATCATCTCCTTTTAGCATGATCCGACCCAGCTGTTTTCTTGACTTTGTTTTAGAATGAATCTCTTCTGCATCATCTAATACAAGGTTCATGTATTCATCGAAACCAATAATACAGCCCTCTATCCGCATATTCACTTGCTCATAGAGCCACACCTGAATCCGGGATCTGTTTTGCAAGTATCTGAAGATGAGGTTAATGGGCTGCACCATCACCTTCTGGACCTTCTGGCCCTGGCCACGGTACGCCATGGTGGAATCTCACAAAGACCACACGAACCAGCACGTTACCTCAGAGAGCACTTAGCCTTTATTAGATATATGATTTCCAAATATTTTCTTCTGTCCTGTGTTATCTTTTCATTCTGTCAACAGTGTTATTTGATGTATATTCAACTTTGATAAAGTCTAATTTATCTATTTTTTTCTTTTCTTAGCTCCATGTTTGGTGATACAGCTAAGAAATCTACTAGTTCAAGGTCTTGAATATGATCTATGATTTATTCTAAGAGTTTTATAGTTTTATCTGTTATATTCATCCCTTTGTTTCTTTTTCAGTTAATTTTTCTATATGGTGCAAAGTAATGGTTGAATTTCATTTTTATTTTTATTTTTTGCATTTAAATGCACAGTATACTTAGTACCATTTATTGAAAGAAACATTCTTTTATCATTAAATGACCTTGCCACCCTTGTTGAGAATCAATTGACCATAGTTGCAAGGTTTGTTTTGTTTTTTTACTCTCAATTTGATTCCAATGATCTTTATATTTGATTTTAGTTCAGTCTGGACAGTTTTGATTTCTGTGGTTTTGTAGTAAATTTGAAATTGGTAAATGGGACTCTTCTAATTTCGTTCTTATTTTTGAAGATTGTTTTGATATTCAGCCTCCCTTGAAATTCCATATGAATTTGAAAATTAGCTTTTCTATTGCAGCAAAAAATGACTGGTGTGATTTTGACAGGTATTGCCTTGAATCTGTGAACTCACAGAATCACATCTTGATGGTCAAAGAACTCTGCAGCTTTCCAGTCCTGACAGATTTCCAATCAAAGTTTCCTTGGTCATTCTTGCATTTTCACAATGCATTTTGAAAATTGTAATAAATGACAGCAGATGTAACTGAGAAGCGTCATGTTACCTCCCCCTTCCACCCCATTGGAGACCACTTGTGAGATAACAAGGAGCTGATTTCCTTCTGGTCACAGAAGAAAGTCCCCTGTCCAACTGTGTATATTTGAAGCTCCGATTGCGAGTTGAGCTGCAAAAAAAGAAAAAAAAAATCACCCTTGGTAGCTGCTTTGATGAGATTTGGGAATTTCCTCAGGATTGTGCAATCAAATCAAAATACAGAAGTATGTTGCATACATAGACCTATTCACATTTGCAATGATCACCCATTTCAAAAGTTTTGTTTTTTGTTTTTCTTTCTTTTGGGGGTACTGGTGATTGAGCCCAAGGGCACTTTGCCACTGAGCTTTATCTCCAGCCCTATTTTGTTTGGAGACTTTTTGCTAAATTGTTGAAGGTCTCATCAAGTTGTAGAGACTGGCCTTGAATTTATGATCCTCCTTCTTCAGCCTCCAGAGTAGCTGGGATTACAGGTGTGCTCCACTGTTCCTGGCACTCATTTCAAAAGTTTTGTTTTTATCAATATCTTCACTTACCTCCAGTTGACTTTAAGTAAATGCATTAAGTTTGAATATAACCAGTAAGCTGATAATAATAAACAGTCTCCTTTGAGCTTGATGTATATCTGGCTGAAAAATAAGCTTTAGTGTGAAAACATAGCAATTGTGCGCTTGTCAAGTAAACATGACAGTGTTTAACTAAACCATCCTGACAGAGGTGGGGTCTCATTAGTCCTTGTGACAGTCCTTTGAGGGGGGTGTTGGTTCACAGATGGGGAAGGGGAGGCCCAAGGAGACTAAGTACCTTGCCTGCAGTCGGAGGCAGGAAGAGGACCCAGGTGTGTGAGGCGCTGATTCTCAGCTGTCATGCCCACGAACTTTCCCACATTCAACTTGTTTATTGGCCCCGTGGCCCTCATGGGAAGCCTGAGGGCCCCTGGGGCCTGTGCCCACACACCCTCCCCTGCAGGCCCCATCTACATCATCACCGAGTACTGCATCTATGGCAACCTGATGGACAACCTGCATCCAACCCATAGCTTGCACCCCTATATCATCCCCCTGCCTGACCCCAAAACAGAGGCTGCTGATGAGGGTCTGCTGGAGGGTTCCCCCAGCCTCGCCAGGTAGCCGCCCTGGCTGGGACCTGGGGCTACAGGGTGCACAGAGTGTGGGTGTGTCTGCGTCAGGCTTGACCCAGCAGCCAGTTCCCTGGGGTGAAGACTTATTCCTACAGGTGAACAGAGGGCAGAACAGGGCTCTCTTGACCTTTGAGCCCTCAGGTGGGAGGGGCAGGCTGCATAGAAAAAGGATGGGTGGGGCTATCTGAAAGAGAGCTCCTTCCTTGTGGGGAATCCCACAGTTGCCCTCTCTAGGCCCTGTCCTAGCCCCACGGGGAAGGAAGGAACCTACTGAGTGTCCCCAGCATGCTGAGGAGTGACCACCTGTGGGGTCCCAGCCAGCCTTAGGCTGTGCTCCATGCTTAGCACTGTGCCCAGGGGGCCCGGCAGCCTGGCTGTAGGAGGCAGAGGTGGCCCAAGGTCAACCCAGAATGCAGACTGGGAAGGAGACTCATGTGCTCTTCTGTCTTGGGTTGGGGTGAGGTTTCAGTCCAGGGAGGGCTTTGGAGGGAGGTCCCCTGGAGCCCGGACTTGATGTTCAGAGATCACCTGCCTCAGCTAGAGAGAGGGCTCCCCAGAGGCCAGTGCCACCCACCCCAAACAAGATCCAGCCCCAGGGGAGGTGGCAGGAGTCCTAGGCTGGGTTCTAACTCCAGCTCTCCCACCATGAACCCTGGGCAGGCTTTGTCCTGTGAACCTCGGTTTTTCCACATGTGCTGACAGTGCACACAGGCCCCTGGGGACCCTGAAGTCCCTTTTCCTTCTGTCAATGAGACTAACATTCCAAGACCTGGGTAGACAGGACAGGATTCAGCCCAGAATTCCAACAGCTTGAGGTGTGAATGCTGGCTGTTTTATGCCCTTGGATAGCTGCTACCCCTCTCTGAACCTCAGTTTTATCTTCTATTAAATAAAAACAGTAAAAGTCCTTGTATTAGGGTCTTTCCTTGAGGATTAAGTGAGATAATGTCTCAGAATATAGAGGATGGAGATGCTGGGGAATTGAAGTGTGGGGCCAGCTTGGCCTGCTCCAACATCCCAGCCCCTGCACACGCCCACGGTGTGAGGTAGGGCAATGACATGACCTCTCTGAGCTGCGCTTGTCTCCTGGCTCAGGCCTTATGGGGTCTTTAAAGGATTCAACGAGCAGAAGTGTGCAAAGCTGGGTTCAAGGAGTCCCTCAGCGCCTGCTGTGGCCCAGCCCTCACCCACTTGCCTTCTTCCTCCAGCTCCACCCTGAATGAAGCCAACACCTCCTCTACCATCTCCTGTGACAGTCCTCTCGACCCCCAGGAAGAACCAGAGCCAGAACCCCTGCCCCAGCCCCAGGGGGACTCCCAGATGGAGCTGGAGCCACCAATGGATGCAGGCTGCCCTGGGCCTCGGGCCGAAGCAGAGGACAGCTTTCTGTAGGGGCTGGACCCCACTCTGTGCCACGAGAAGCTCCCCTTCTGCCACCAGGCCACAGCCCCCGGGCCTGGCATCCTGTGAGCCATGCTGCTCCTGCCAGCTGTCCCATGTGGAAGGCTTCTGTCCCTGCCACACTGCTCCCCAAGCCCTGGGGCTGGCTCAGGAGGCCAGAGAACTGCAGGACCATGCCCAGCCTCTGCCTCAGGGAGGCCATGTGACTGAGCCAAGGTCCCTCCCAGGGGACCCAGTTTCCCAGTGCACAAGATGAGACATTGAACTTGGTAGTTCACAGTCCACCTGGGAGTCTCCCTGGCTGACAAGGCTGGAATCTGGGGATCTTCCTGGGGAACGAGGGGGTCAGTAACCACTCTATATTCAGCCAGCTGCCCCTCAAGGAGTCGCAGGCTTGTCCCCACACTTCCATCTGCCCAGGAGCTGGGGAAGAAACCCCGGCACCCCTGGCTCCTGGCTGAGCTGGGCTTGCCCTGGCCAGTGTTGCTTCGCTCTGAAGCCACCTCCCCTGACACTAGTCTCTGCTTTCCCAGGCCCGAGCAGGTCTGGGCCAGCCATGCTTAATTAGTGCTGTAATTATTGCTGGGACTGAACCAAGTACAGCACTCCCCGGCCTGCAGAGCCAGCCCAGGACACTCAGGGCACACTGGCTCTGGACAGTGCCCATATCTTCCAGGCCCCTTGTGTTCTGAGGCTTTTTCTCATGGTCTCTTGTTGCAGGCCCAGCGGATCCTGCATCTGTGACAAATGTGTTGATGTGCCAGCATTATGTCCACATGTGTACACCAGTAGGTGGCCCTGACTCTGCATTGGACTTGCTGTGACCTTGGAGGAATCCCTTGCCCTCTCTGGGCCTGTTTTCCCCTTTGAAGAATGAGCAAGTTGGACTCATTCACTCTGAATGCCCTGTCAACACTAATATTCTAGAATATTCCTGGGGTTTGCATGCTTGTCCAGAGGAGGCAAGGTCAAGTACCCTAAACCACGTTCTTGAGGGGCTTTGGGGAGATTCCAGATGACACATGACACCCAGGCATTCAGGAACGTGACCCTTTCTCTGCCCCAAATGCAGCTGTGTGGACCTTGACTTGGAGTGACAGTCATTGCTCAGGAAAGCCCCCAGCAGCTGCTCCAGGGACACGGGAGGACCACGAGACCCCCTTGAGCACCCACAATGAACTCTGGAGGTATCCTGGGCAAGGGGGCAGGGAGGGAGGTCATTACCTCATGCAGCCCAACACTGCCCCCAAGGTATGTGCCACAGAGAGAATGGACAGTAAGGAAGATTGTGTCCCATGAAGGACAATAGCCTTAGGTCAGCACCCAGGAAAGGGGCACAAGAGGAGGGCACAAGAGGGGATTGGTTCCTTAACTGCCACCTGCCCCATCCTGGAGGCAGTACCTGGTGGAGTAGGGTCTTGTCACTGCCCAGGTCTGTTAGTGACACCTCACTGTCCTCAAACCAGTGGGCATTGGTGGTGCCAGGTCAGTGAGGGATTTGGCCTCTACCCTCAGGAGGGGAAGCGATGGCAAGGGGTTGAGGCAAGTTCAGCCCTCCTGGGCACAGTGCCTATGCTGGTGGTGTCTCCCAACCCCAGGGCTCCAGAGCGTCCCCCAAGGAAAGGAATCAATTCTTACTGTGTTACCAAAGGTATAATTACCTACATTTACAAGTAGTTTTAGGACTCACATTAACTCACATTTATACATCAAAAGCACTATTTTGTATGCAGTTCAGTTTTCCTATCTGTATTTTTCTCTTTTTAAAAAATTTTTTGTGCTGGGGACATAGCTCAGTTGGTAGAGTGCTTACCTTTCATGCACAAGGCCCTGGGTTCAATCTCCAGCACCACAAAAAAAAAATAAAAATAAAAATAAAAATTTTTTATTTGTTTTAATTAGTTATAGATGACAGTAGGATGCATTTATGCACTTTGATATACATAGATGGGGTATAATTTCTCATTTTTCTGAGTGTACATGTTGTAGAATCACATTGGTCATGCAGTCATATATACACATACAGTAATAATGTCTGTTTCGTTCTACTATCCTTCCTACTCCCACATCCCAACCTCTCCCCTCCCTTCACTTCCTTCTACCTAATCTAAGGTGACTCTATTCTTCTCTAGTGCCCCCCTCTATTGTGAATTAGCATCCACATATTAGAGAAAACATTTGGCCTTTGGTTTTGGGGGATTGGCTTATTTCACTAAGCATGATTTTTTTCATCTCCATCCATTTACCGGCAAATGCCATAATTTTATTCTTCTTTTAAGCTTAGTAATATTCCATTGAATATATATACCACATTTTCTTTATCCATTTATCCATCTACCTAGGTTGGTTCCATAGCTTAGCTATTGTGAATTGAGCTGCTATAAACATTGATGTGGCTGCATCACTGTAGTATGCTGATTTTCAGTCCTTTGGGTATAGACAAGAAATGGGATAACTGAATCAAATGGTGGTTCCATTCCATGTTTTCTGAGGAATCTCCATACTGCTTTCCATAGTGGTTGTACCAATTTGCAGTCCCACCAGAGTGTATGAATGTGCCTTTCCCCCCGCACCCTCGCCAACATTTGTTGTTGCCTGTATTCTTGATGATTGCCATTCTTACTGGAGCAAGATGAAATCTTAGCGTAGTTTTGTGTATTTTTTTAAAGGAGATATTTTCATATTACACTTGGTGCTTCCTCTCGTAGACGCTGTGGTCTTTCTTGGGTGTGGACCCTGTTCCTGGGGTGCTGGGTATGGATTGAGGGCCGTCAGAGCTCATCCCCTGACAGAGTCCTTCAGCTCTGTTCTCTTTTCCCTCTTCTAAAAAAGGGATTTTCATTTCTCCCACCCCTTGCTAGTGGCTAGGTTTTCTTGACCTTGGCCTTGGATTCCCAGGTGTGAAGTGAGGAAGCTTCTCATTTCTGTTGTGCCTGAGCAGTTCTGGGTAGGAGAACGTTGAGCCTACAGGCCTGCTCAGAGGCTCTAGCCCTGGGAGCACAAACCCTTCCTGCCCCCCTTTTTCCCCACCATGTGCTCTGGCTTTGGCTACTAAGCTGGGGCACCCTCCTGCACGCCCTCCTCTCTGCCTGTGGGCCAGACAAGTCTGCTGTGGCTGGGGAGATGCATCGCCAGAGCCCGGATTCCAAGTCAGGGTGAGTCATGGTTGGGACCAGATAGGAGCAGAAGAGACAGAGCACACAAGGGCCCCAGACAGCAATGGGAAGAAGGTAGGGGAGAGAGGAAGGAAGGAGAGGCCAGGGGACGTCATGGAGCACCAGATTGTGGCTCTGAGGCAGAGTCTAGCCAGGTGGGACAGTGGAGAACAGACCACAGGCCTCACTGTCTCAGCAGCTCAGTGGCTATGGGGCTAGCACAAGGTGGGAGTCCTGGTCCCTCTGGCCAGCTCAGTATTGGCCATCAGCTCCTCTTGGAGCCTGGGCCTGTTAGCCACTGGCTGTACACTACCAGGGGCAATATATCACTGAAGCAGGGGACAGATGCAAGGGTGCCAAGCCAGGCCAGGGGTGCCTTCTACCTGGGCTATTTGGGAGGATTCATTGAGGTAGACCCAGGTTTCAGCCTGAGGCCGATCATTTGCTTGCTGTGTGTCTTCAAGCCATCACTGAGCAGAGAGATGGGCGTCTCTGCTTGGACCTGGGGGAAGGGTGCCTTGCTTTGGAGCTGCAGGTCTCCCTGGACTGTCTCCAGTAGACTGTGGCTGTGGCAAGTGGGCAGAGGACAGGACTGTGGCCAGCTCTGACTCATAGCCCTGCAGCCAACTCAGGGGCAGCTGAGTTGTGACAGGGAAACCCACCAGTGAGCGCCTGGACATACCAACCCCCACCCCTGGGGTCCTGCTCTACAGCGCACCCAGAACTCACGACCTCTTCTCTCCTGGCTGTGGCAGTAGTTGATTAAGGCAAAACTTGGATCTGCTTGGAAAGAGGATAAACAACCCACATTCCAGAAGGGATTGTCTCTGCTCATGGGAAAGCCTGTTTGCAGGTCAGGAGACTCCAGGCCCCATCTCAGCCTGCTCCTCCTGGGACCTTGGGTGGGTCACACCACATCAGAGCCCAGTTCCCTTGTGGCTAATGGAAAAAAACAAGGCCACAGAGAGGAGGCAGGATGAAAGTCTGGCTGACATCAGCCACTAGGTGGTGCTCGGGGGCTGTCTGTGCTTCATTCATTTTTCTTATTTCCCCCTCATCAGTCCCAGGAACCTAGTACAGGTACAGATGAGAGAGGAGATTGCAAAACGACTTGCCCAGGATCATTTGGACAGTGTGTCTGGGTAGGGAGGGAGCCTGGGCCTGGTTGCCTTGTAGATTGAATCTCAGGGAGCTAAGGCGCCCACCCAAAGGGGCAGAGCCAGGGATACAGGGAGCCTCCAAACCCTGTTTCCCACCACATGACCTCTCTGGTGCCACATGTCCCTAAAAGAAAGGTCAGGAAAGGCTCTTGAGAGGGAAGAGCCAGGTGAATTGAGGGCTGGGTGAAAATAAGAAAACATAGTTTGGGAGAGGGCTTGGACCTCTGGGCCCTGTGCAGAGCAGGTGCAGGGGGCTGAGGTGACCTGGGTCAGCCCCTGCCTGGTCCTGCCCAGGGGAGATGGGCGAGCTGGAATTTTCCTCCCAGACAGATGAGCCACTCGGACTACACATTGCTTCCACCACCCACTGTCCGCCTGGGTCCTTCTTCCTGGAAAAAGAGGGAAAGACTGAAAGAGTTTGTTCTGCTGGGCCCTGAGCTGCAGCCCACGAGGGGCCTTCAGCCCCATTAATGTTCCTTCTCTGAATTAGGACCCTGTCTCTCCAAGGCCTCTGTGACCTGAGTTTATTCTCCAGTTTTACAATAATGAATTTATAACAGTGTCTACAGAGCACATGCCCCAAACCCATTAGCAGAGTAGGTAACACAGAAAGAGAACACTTTCCTGTGTGTGTTTTTGTATTTTAGACTCTGGTAACATTGTAAATGGGTTCTTTCTTTAGTCAGCCACTCTGTGTGTAGGAATTTATGTTATGGAAATTCTGTTTAAATTGCTAATAGTTCAGTTTTATTTTTCTAGGTTCCCCTACTCATATGCATATTAATATTTGTATTTGCATGTAATTGAATTACAGTTTTTTTTAAAGAGGGGGAAGAGAGAGAGAATTTTTCAATATTTATTTCTAGTTCTCAGTGGACACAACATCTTTATTTTATTTTTATGTGATGCTAAGGATTGAAGCCAGCTCCCCACGCATGCCAGGCGAGCGCGCTACCGCTAGAGCCACATCCCCAG